ACCTAACGGGGGGCGTGAAACTGGAGGGGCCTGGTGTAATTCTCACCAAGGAATGGGAGGGATGCGGGGGCATCCATGGGAACGGGGGTAGGTTCGAACTTCCCCCGGGTCACTGGCTAAAGTGACCCCGCTCAGTTCGGTCTCGGAGGGGGGAGAGATGTGACGAACTGGGACTGTTCTTAATGTGGTCTGTGAATGCTGACAGGGGAGTGTGGCTGGGATAGTCGGCATTGGGGGATGGGAGACTGACCGAAGGAGAATACCTGAGCATGTAACATGAGAACCCAGGAAGGGGGAGAGGCCAGGTGACACCTTTGCCCGGGAAACTGAACAAAGGCTGTGGGAGGGGTCGCTGAAGGCAGAGTTGGAGGAGCTGGCTAGTGACCATGGCTGGGAGGTAGACGGGGCTCTGACCTCCCAGGGGGGCTAGGGTGCCCGAGGACCCCAAGATGGACCTAACTGGGGGGGTCCTGTTGTCTGCGCCTGCATGACCTGTCTTGGACTGTATTCCTGTCATCTAAATAAACCTCCTGCTTTACTGGCTGGCTGAGAGTCATGGTGAATCGCAGGACGCCGGGGGTGCAGGGCCCTGAGTCCCCCCACACTCCGCGACACCCATATACATCCATTCCTCTATCTACTCATCGATGACCATCCCCTCCATCCATCTATTCACTCCTTTAGACACCCATCCATGTACCTATCTCTTCATCCATCTGTTCCCATACACATCATTCCATTCACTCACCCTGCCCCATGCACACCGATCCAGCTGTCTGTCTGTCTATGCATACATACATACGTACACCCATGACCATCTACTCTCCTATCTATCCATTGAATGGCCGGCAATCTGGCTGTGGATGCAGGACTCTTGGAAGCATCTTCTTCGGAACGTCCTGGCCCAGTGTGGTGTCCATGTCACACTGGAAAGCAAAGGGGGTGGGAGGGGAAGGAGCTGCGTCCCCGGAGCAGCCGCTGACCTGTAACGATGTCGGTGGAGACGGGGCCGAGGCGCTTGCGGCCGGAGATGCCGTAGAGGTTGAACTTGTATCTGTGGGAGGGGGCCAGGTTGGTTACAGTGACCGTGCGGGATCCCCCATCCATGGGCAATGCCTGGAGTTTCCCCTCCGCGTCCTTGTACTGGAGGAGGAAGGAGTCGAAGTCCCCGGTCTGGACGGTCCAGGAGAGCAGGATGGAGTTGTGGGTGACATCAGAGGCCAAGAGCTCCCCCAGGCTGGGCTGGAAGGTGAGTTCCTGCACCCGCGGCTCCTTGGCTGGAACAAGGAGGCGGGTTAGGGCATGGCTGGATTAGGGTAGCTGACCAGGTCCTTGGGGGGCCGGGCAGTTCCTACCCAGAGGGGATCAGCAGAGAAGATTAGTGGGACGAGGGCGCAGGGAGCCCCAGAGACCAGCCCCAGGACACAGCTGCATCCTGGTGCTGGGAAGGAGAGCTGGGGACACACAAATGGACGGGCCATGTCTGCAAAGAGGATCCCACATTCCCAGGTTCCCCGTGACCATCACACCTCCCTGGAGGGGTCGGCCCAGATCAACCGGCACAAACCTCAGTGAGAGTTGGGCTGAGACAGGATGGAATGAAGAAGAAATGAGAGGGAAAGAGAAGGGCATGAACTAAAGTCACCAACGTCAATGGATAGATCCCCATTGACACCCACCCATCCCCAAACACTCCTCCATCCATCCCTGTACGCACCCATCCATCCACCTGTCCAAGCATGCATCACCACACCCAACCCACCCATTGTTGCTGCTGGAGCCACCTGGCAGAAGAGTTACACATACACATCTACCCATGCATCCCCCAAAACACCCATCCAGCCCCATCCATATCTACCCACCCTTCCATCTGTCCATCCTGCCATACACCCCCATACATATCTGCCCACCCTTCCATCTGTCCATCCATCCATCCACCCCCATACATATCTACCCACCCTTCTGTCTGTCCATCCATCCATCCACCCCATACATATCTACGCACCCTTCCATCTGTCCCTCCATACATCCACCCCCATACATAACTACCCACCCTTCCATCTGTCCATCCATCCACCCCCATACATATATATCCACCCTTCATTCCTTACTCCATCCATCCTCCCCCATACATATCTACCCACTCTTCTGTCTGACCATCCATCCATCCACCCCCATACATATCTACCCACTCTTCCATCTGTCCATCCATCCATCCCCATACATATCTACCCACCCTTCTGTCTGTCCATCCCTCCATAAATCCCCATACATATCTACCCACTCTTCCACCTGTCCATCCATCCATCC